AACCATGACCTCAGTTATAACAATCAACAACTTCGGCATTCGACCATTTAATTTCTCCCCATTGAATTCAGCAAGAATTATTTAAGTTTACAAACTAATTCAGATAACAATGACAGTGCTGAAGCGCGGGGCCCCTTCAAGCGCGGGGCCTAGGGTGACCGCCCCGTTTGCCACCCCCTAACGCCGGCTCTGTCGATCTGCTTAGTGACTATCTGTCAAGCTTGATGAATTGTATTGCGAAGTCGACGTAGGACGGTATGCTTTGAACGGTAGAAGTTGATTCACTGCTAGGGTTTCCTTCATAGACAGATCTCTATTTTTTATTTTTATATTTTCTATTTGTACGACAGCCTAATAATATTTTTGTATCATAGGCATAGGCACACACACAAATACAGAAAACTACTAAAGCGTTGAGGGGGGGGGGGGGGGGGGGTGAGGGGGGGAGGGTGCATAAAGGTGTAGTACATTTTTGATCTGTTGTCAAACTGTAAAAGTAAAGTTCCCTTTTCGAACCTGACTGTCCAAGGGTCAAGTGAAGTAGAGTTCACCTGTTTCTCTGATTTCGGATAGTCAGGTATGTAACCTAAGTCAGGTACCCATGAGAGCTGGGTGGACTCAGTGACGTTCTACTGACCAACCCGGATTCGAACTCGAGACTTTGGAGTCAGTAGTCTAGCTAGTCCACGGTGCTATCACGCCGTAGAAAGAGGAGTTGGTTATAGCATACAATGAGGGGTTGGGTGACTATCGGTGTTGGGCGTTGGGGCGGGGGGAGTCAACGTAATGATGGGTTGAGGGGTGCTCTTGTATATTATGTGCTTTCATGACGGCTTATTGCAATAGACCACTGCTAATATAAAAGATGCACAAAGAAAGGGGCATTAGATTTATCAATGTTATTAATGATGATATAATTGTAGCGCACTGTTTAGCATTGAATCGAATTGTGTTGTTTTATATTGTGTTGAGTAGTGTTGTTTTGCAGTTGTGTTGTGTTTTGTTGTGCATAGAAACTTGCTTTTCCGACGATTTATTTTTAAAGAATACTGTCGGTAGAGACATGCTTAACGGTGGGATCTAGGGTATTGTCGGGGTGGACTCAAAGGTGGCTTATAGTGGGGCATGTTGAAGACTTTGTTAGTGAGTGATGGGGTGTAGGGTTGGCACTTAGTTAGCAGGTCTCGGAATGTTGATGTTGCGGTATTTTGTTTCTGCTTACTTGCTGACGTTGTTGATGTAAATACCGTAAGTAGAGCAGGTAAGATGTACCACTGTTCTCTGTTGTCGCACATTGTTACCCTTGATCTGCGGACATGGGCACATATTTCTTCAAGACGCCAGGCCTGATAAAAAGACAGGTTCTTATTGTACTCGTTAGTTAAGTAATTAACTTAAGCTCATTTGTGACGCAAGAAGGGTGTATGGAGTGGACGTCTGAATTATGAAGTAGGAGTAGGTCTAGTAGTGTTTCTTTCAGGTATCTCTCCGGAGCACGCCCCCCCCCCCCCCAACCCCAGGTGAAATAGGAAAAAGTTTATAAAGAAGATGGCTTTAACCAGTGTCAACCACTACACGGAAGTTTCAAGAGCACCACCCCCCCCCCCCACACACACACACATCCCCGGAGTAAGATTGGAAGAAACCCTGGATTTAGAGTTTATGTAGAGATGTGGGTGTGGCTTGTTAGTGAGTTACAATTGGGTACACAAAGTGTATATAAATAGATTATACCTTCTTCCTCCCCTCCCATTCTTCTATCCCATAACCCCGTCTAGCATCCATACAACAGACAGATATGACGAGCGATCACATCATGACCCCAGAGTACTTGAAGGATTGGAGTTTCTCTCATATGTGCCCTTTTAATAGTAGGCTATACCATAAGTATTACCAAGTGGTCGTCCATAAACTACGTCACACTCCTAGGGGGAGGGGTTTGGAATTTTGTGAAGCTGTATTTTAGCTGTTATTTCGCTATTTTAGACTGCCGTTTTTGTAAATTGTGCAAGAAATCTGCTAATATACTCTATGTTGACCAAGCTTAGTAAATATTTTTATAAAGAAATCTGTTTAAAAATAATAAAACTGCTAATTTTAAAGGGGGCGAGGGTTGTAGGCTGAGATGTGACATTTTAGAAGGGGGGGGGGGTCTGGCTTTTTGTGACGATGTTCGACGGAGGGGGTGTAAAAATCGTTACTAAAATGCGTGATGTCATTTATGTTTGACCCCCCCCTCCCCCCATCCTCCCAATTAAAAAAATAAACATAACTCAATCTATACCAGATAATCCCGATACCCTACCACCAACATCTATTATCGACGCACTCGAGTAACTTGAGTGGCTTGACTACTTTTGATTGTGGTTCTGACACAAATACTCTAATTTTTAAGTCCATTAACTTAGCACGCAAGTAAACTAGTTGGTTGATGGATACGTCTCCGACCAAAAACAATATCAGAAATATTGGCAAACTGAACCTATTACTATTTTGTAAAGAATTAATTATTAAAGAAAAAGCAAATGTCAAATTTTATCGAAAGCCCGTACATGACATCAGCAAGATTGTTACACTATTATACTTGAAGGTTTAACACAGGCTGCCGCGACCCAGATATTGACCGGGCATTTAACGTTGAAATATTTGAATAGCACGTGACTGTCCTAATCTGGTTGATTATGTTGTATGTATGGGCCCGAGTATCAAGTTTTGTAAAAAAAAATAATTGCAAATTTAATAAACCGGGAGTGATCTCCCCTAAACTTTCTCGAATATTCTTGCATAAAACAACAGGGGATGGTAACTCGGGATATAGTTATGATTTTTAATCCATTTTAAATACTTAAACTTTTGAAAATAGAATAGAATCTCATAGAAAAAAGAATTGCGCACCAAGCGAACGCCAAAACAAAAATGTGCATAATAGTGCGCAATATTATTAGTACTTTAAAAATTCACATGCGTTTTTTTGAGAAATCGGTAATAGCGTAAATTAGTACTTCCGGTCAACGGAAATTACTCAAAATTTGACAGAATTTAGAGAATTAGGTCTATTACTTACATGTGAAATTTCATTGATCTATCTGAAATAGTACTCAAGTTATAGGCTTTTGAAAAATTCAAAGTTGAAAAAGTACCACTTCCGGTTATCGGAAATCGCTCAAAAGTTTATAGGGATCTAAGATTTTGATAAAATACTTATATATGAAACTATATGATTCGTCGGCGATTCAATATGCGTGTTTAACTACAAATTAATGAATTAATACACATTAATACACATGCTGAACGGTGTCAAGTAATTTACTAAGACCGGCGTGAAACCCACTGCCGTGTGAGGTGCTGTTGAAATACCCGCATGAGGCATCCCTTTATGCTTTTGGCTATTGCCATCAGCTATTCCTAGATACCAAATTTATCATTTTTGTTAGATTGGAACTCGGGTGTTGCTCACTTATAAATTCCATTGTCTCTCTTGACCAGAAACACTGGACTGTCGTGTTGCCCACTTATAAATTCCACTGTCTCTCTCGACCAGAAACACTGGACTGTCGTGTTGCCCACTTATAAATTCCACTGTATCTCTTGACCAGAAACACTGGACCGTTGTGTTGCAAACTTATAAATTCCATTGTCTCTCTTGACCAGAAACACTGGACTGTCGTGTTGCCCACATATAAATTCCATTGTCTCTTTTGACCAGAAACACTGGATTGTCGTGTTGCCCACTTATAAATTCCATTGTCTCTCTTAACCAGTATGAGGTTAGACTAGTGAACAACCCGTACCCAGAATTTACAAGATGTTTCCAGGACACGGCCTTGACCTATGCCCCGTGTGGTTGGCTCTGGGTGACAGCACCGATCCACCTCATTTACCTCCATAAACACACCCAGTTCCTAAAGCTTGGTGTAACATGGATCTCTATAGCTCGCTTGGTAAGTTTGTTTTGTTTTTAAAAATTGGCATAATTAAACATTTATATTTTGAAAAAATTGTTTTTTCCTATTAGTTTGAAGCCAGTGATGTCCCTTTTATTCTATAAGCAAAGTGAATAGTTTAATTACTCTCTTTTTGGAAGTCAAGTATGGTTTCTTAAATACTGTGTCATAAATGTAAATAAATGCAGGCAATATTTCATCTGTTAAAGGAAAAAAAAAATGTCATATCTACATAATTTTTATATTGTATCAAGTTTTTAATTATTTCTGATATCTCATTAGATGATCAGTTTATCAACATTGCCAGAGTTTTGTAAAAGCCTTTCCTGGTGAAAGCTGATAACAACTGAAAATTTTTAGTTTAATATAGCCTCTTAATACCTGTAGTTATACTTATGGTTAAAAATATATTTGTTTCTGTTTTTTTAGCTGTTTGCTGGTATATTGGCATTGTTGGCTGGACTACACATGTTAGCTCCCTTTGACAGTATGGATGATGATGAGATTTATCCCCCTTCTTTTTATCTGTCTCAATCTGTCTGGGCTGCAACATTTGTAAGATGTTTTAAATTTATAATTTAAAGGATTGCATTTTTTAAAAATACTGTAGAATTATATGAAATGAAAGGTAATCACCCTAAAAAAGAATGTATTAGCCTTCATAGGAAGATGACTCAGTTTTTCATTTGCTTTAAAAATCTATAGGCCTTCATGATACAAACATTTAAGCTTGTTTTAAAACGTACTGATGTTTATATTTCAGTTGCTTGTTTTTGTGTTGATGATATTGTCACAAAGATCTGGAGTGCCCTCCCCTTGTGTGATCTTTATATTCTGGACACTCACTTTTGTTTCCTACATTATACCAGTTTACACGCTAGCTATGCAAGAGGTATTATTGGTTGAAGTTGTTAAATAACTGTTTGAAATCATTTTGATACAAAACTGTACTTATTTTAAAGTAAATTGATGTTATTTTTTTTTTCACTTCAAAATCCAGTTAATGTAAATTTTATTGATTTGAAAGTTTTAAAAATTGTGTTAATTTTTTAGACTTATGAAGACTACAAGACCCATTTTGCACTTGTGTGTACAACCTTCGCAGTTATAGCCACTGAGTTTGCTCTTCAGTGTCTAGGGGACACAAATGTTCAGCTACTAGATTCATCATCTGATGCTGTATGTCTTCTTATTTCTCTGTGTAGTTAAAAAGTAGCAAACACAATTTTTTAAAATTAAAGGTATTGCCAGTATTAAGTAGAAATACCAATCAAATTTTTGTAAAAACTTGAACATTGACTCACATTGATTTATTTTTTACAGATTCCTTGTCCAATGATAAAAGCATCATATGTGTCTCGGCTAACTTTCTCCTGGGTATTTAAGTAAGTGTCAAAGTAATACAGACAAGCAGTTTTACTGAAACATCTTGTTAGTTAATACAGTGTTATAGAATTACTCAACAAATCTTAGAGTAACAATAATTCTTGTTAATATCTTGTTAGTTAATACAGTGTTATAGAATTACTCAACAAATCTTAGAGTAACAATAATTCTTTTAATATCTTGTTAGTTAATACAGTGTTATAGAATTACTCAACAAATCTTAGAGTAACAATAATTCTTTTAATATCTTGTTAGTTAATACAGTGTTATAGAATTACTCAACAAATCTTAGAGTAACAATACCTCAAATAATTGTGTCTCATTATCACACTCTTTAGTGTGAGGTCATATTTTTGATTTTATTTGGCATATAAATTACAAAAAACATTGACTACCATAATTCAAGATCAACATCAGTTATGAAAATTGTGACTTGTTTTAAATCAGTTTAGTTTTATGCAGTACAAAATTTAGAAGCAGCTGGTACACATACCCTATTACTGATTAAAATTAAAAATAGTATTTATGATAGAGAATGATGATAAATCTATTTTTTTATTATTATCTCCCCCTACAGTTTAGTTTACTCAGGATACAAGAAGGTGGTTGTTCTGTCAGACATATTTGATGTGCCGAACTTGATGCAATGTCGTAACAATGTACCAGAGTTCATGACGGTTTGGCTGAAAGAACTAAACAGCAAAAAAGCTAAATATAATAAGTTAGTGATTTACAAAAACTAAAGAAATGTATTTTCTTTTATAGAGGGGATTTTTTTTTCTTAAGCTTAATGAGATAAGATTATTGTCTACCGCCCCTCTAATTTTATACTTGTGATATCAACTAAGTTAACTAAATAAATATAAAATAAACCTTACATTATCTGCAATTCCTATTTAAATAAGTTGTTTTGCTCGAGCTGATACAAAATTATCCTGCATTAAAATGTGTTCACGTTTTTGACCTCAGGTTTAAGAAGGAGCTGTCCTATATATACAGCAATGGTACAGGAAATATAACAAATAGTTTAAGAAAGAGTATCCCAGCAAATCTGGTGCCCACAGAGAAAACTCAGCTACTTCAAGCTGATACAGAAGATGAAGAGAAGAAGAGAGAGCTGCCATCACTGTATAAAGTTCTTGCTAAAGTTTACTATCTGCCATTGTTCAAAGCTCAGCTGGTTGGGCTGATTGGAGACTTAACTGTGTTTATCAACCCCTTGTTACTTGAGTAAGTACTTATACATATTTTTAAAATACATAGCTGAAGTCCATTCAATTTTTATGGGTACCTGACTTGGGTCTTGGAAAGTAATGATAGCTGAGCATAGTTCTGCTCATACAATCCCTTTATATACCTGAGGGCAGAAAACATATTACTTCCTCTGCCAGATGACCCTCCTTTCCCCCCCCCCCCCCCCATCATCAGTCTGAAAACTAAACTCAGTTTTTACATTTTAAACACACTTTTACAGGTTCAGTTCACAAGTTAAATAAACAGTCCGTAATTATGACTATCTGTATTTTACTTGTCTACAGTTTGATTATTGGCTACGCTGAGAATAAAGAAGACTACCCTGAGTGGCACGGTTATTTGCTGGCATGTTCCTTCTTTTTCATTGCCTTCTTGAACTCCATGATGAACAACTACCGTTACTATTACTGTACCAACATTGGCATGCAAGTCAAAACTGTGCTAACAGCTGCTGTCTATAAGAAAGTGAGTCCAATAGCCTCTCATGATCATGTTTCTGACTGAATAGTATCCTGATTGAAAAAATCATTTTCTCAATTATATTTTTGTGTATTATATTTTATTTTTTATAATTATTGTATGCAGATAGGCCTAAATCAGGGGTCGGCAACCTTTTGAGACGGAAGAGCCAAAAGTTACAATGTACCAAATTTCCAAGTTTTTAAAGAGCCACTAACATTTTTAATTTATTTCAATATTATAATTTTGATAAGGAATATCTCTCTCTCTCTCTCTCTCTCTCTCTCTCTCTCTCTCTCTCTCTCTCTATATATATATATATATATATATATATATATATATATATATATATATATATATATATATATATATATCTTAAGTTTCGCAGAAAAAAGTTTTAACGTATTTTATCTAGCTCTGCTACAAAAATAAAATCAGTAATCAAATTATATAACTTTAATTGTTGAATACTATTTACAACAGTTTGGCCTTGCATGCATGCCTTTTGAAAGTTTGTTTAAACCTGGCTCATAACTTGTTTTCAGTTTCAAGCACGCCTCTATTACATAGTTAGTTGGCTACTATACTTTGTATTATATTCTTGCAAGAAAATGCTTGCTTGCATGAATATGTTGACCCGAAGATCATCAGCACTCCAAATGCCAACTTCTTTACCTCATTTTAGCATCCTGGAAGACTATTCCATCCGTCACATAATAGCGCCTCAACTCGCGGCATTTCTTTTAGAGCAGTCCACTTGTGCAGCGAAACGTGCATGTTTTACTGGACCTCCAATCTTTTAACTTGCTCTTAATATATGTGAACTTATCACTACACAAATGTTTGGTTTTCAAATCTAGCAATTCCATTTGAAGCGAAGCAGCAACAATTCCAATTAGCTCAAAGTTAATCTTATTTATTTTTGTGTTGAGAGGATCTACTATGAACGCCAAAGTACTTGCATTTCTTTTGAATTGTTCAAATCTCTCAGTGAACTCATCCTTCATTTTGTTTATAGTAATGATGAAGTAATTCTTGTTAATAGTAGCGTTTGTTTTATCACATTTTTTTTTCAATTTTTTTAAAAATAAAGTAATATAACCGCTCTCTGTGTCTTCAATAAATTAAGTAGGCCTAATTTTTTTAATATTAATATTTGTGCATGAAGCTGAAGAGCCGCATCTCGACATCAAAAGAGCCGCATGCGGCTCGCGAGCCGTAGGTTGCCGACCCCTGGCCTAAATATATGTATACAAATTAATTTACCAAATTTTAAAAATAACTTTTAAACCTTGGCATAGAGGTTAAAATTTCTTGCCCTTATTGGGTTTTAACACATTTTGAAGAGTAAACTTTTCATATATATACTCATAATTCTGTTTAATATTTCTTTATTGAATTTTTTCCACATTAAAGTATTTTATTGTAAAACAATAAATATACAAAAAGGTTTTTCTGTTTTTTCCAGTCTCTGACAATGAATGCTGAGGCACGACGCAAGTTTACTGTTGGCACAATAGTAAACTTAATGGCCGTAGACTGCCCAAGGTTCCAAGAATTGACCTTCCAGTTGTATGTCCTCATCTCATGGCCCGTCCAAATCTCTATAGCTTTCTACATGTTGTATGAGACTTTAGGGATCGCCTTTGTAGCTGGTAGGTTGTAAAATATGTTGTATTTTTATTTCAGTGATAAACATTTAACTATATACAGTACAATCTGCCGTGTTAGACAACCCCTAATTTTTGTAGTTAAATACACTTTGGGATATACCGACCCTGTGGGTACCCTGACATCTAAGATGATTTACCTGGGTTAAAAGTTATCTTATGCACCTGAGAAATTATTGTATATTGTTTCTTGTATTGTTTCTTGAGACACACCTTGTTCCATATCTTATTCTTCACATGGGTGTCTTAAGATTCTAATTATTGTTTTAGCCTCAGGATTTTGTATATGCTAAACAGGATTTAGATTGATATTGTTAACTATTTATTGTATTGAAGAAAAGAGAATAGATCAGCTAAAGGTGATCATTATGGTAATTTAAAAAATTGAATTCCATGTTCTATACTTTCAACAGGTATTGTGGTATTGCTGCTTCTTATTCCCACTAACTCCAGAATTTCAACACTCGCTAGAAAAGCTCAGGCCAAACAAATCTTTTTCAAAGATCAGAGAATCAAGTTATTTAATGAGATCCTCAATGGGGTTAAGGTAAGTCCAATCTTTTAGAAAAACCTTATTAATGTTTTATAAAGATTAGAAAATCAAGATTTTTAAATATGATTCTCATTGGCATTAAGTTAAATAAAAACTTTGGATAAATCTTTTATATAACCAACATTCAGAAAGGAATGTATAGATTCACTTAATTTGATTTTAACAGTGAAAGCAAATGTGGACTAAGGAATTATTTTTGTATCTCTAGCTTAGGTTTTTTTAAGGATAGAATGTTTCTTTTAATTTAACATGTTTCAGTGTGTAAATAGTTGTTAACCTATAGACAAATATAACATATAGCCACCAATAGCAGTACTGGTTGCCATGGAAACCATGAAAAGGTGTGAAAAATAACACCTTTTTAAACCTCTATAACTTTGTTCCCAAAAGAAATTTTTAAAATCTGATGACACATTTAGATTTCTCAAACCAAACTATATTCTGTTGTAGGTTTTAAAGCTATATTCATGGGAGCCTTCATTCGGCTCTAAACTTCAAGAATATCGCAATGCAGAAGTCAAACAATTGAGGAAAGCTGCTATCTATTACTCTATCAATGTTTTACTTTGGGCTCTTTCACCAGTTCTGGTAAGATTTTGTAATATAGTGAGACTTGTGAAGTCAAGGGAACTCACTCTTCTTGTATTAGTATTATATTTATACTGTTATCTTGAGTGATGTCCCTTATATGTATATATATATTTGTGTCTCGTGACTTCCGCCCTCTCTCTCGTTACCATCATGTAGTTGAGGCCAATAAACGTTTTATATACAATCACATGCTTCTATCGTCAATCTATTACATCTGGCGACGAGGATAAATAATCCACTAGAAAGAGCATATGCTTACTTAAAAAGGAGCTTGCTAGAGCATATTGGCTAAGTATTTCTAGGATAATGGCGCTGTATGGCCAAATAAAAGAATTTGATTCGAATGATGAAACCATTCATGATTATCTAGATAGGTTAAGCTTTTACCTTGAAGCTAACGACGTGATGATAGAAGCCAAAAAGAGAGCTGTTTTGTTAACAGTCATAGGGCCTCAACAATTTAGGCTACTAAAGGACTTATGCACACCAGCTAGTCTAACTACCAAGAGCTTTAACGAGCTGAGCAAATTGCTAACAGACCATCAAAGTTTCTGTGTAGAGCTAGATTTGACGGTAGGACTCGTCAACCAAACGAGTCAATATCAGAATATGTTGCTGCTTTACGTCATTTAAGTGAATTTTGTGAATTCGGAGACACGCTGTCTGACAGACTATGTGAAAAGTTTGTGACAGGTGTAAACAGCCCTGATGTTCAAAGAAAGTTGCTGCTCGAGTCAGATCTAACATTAGAAAAAGCAATACAACTTGCGACTTCATTCCAGCAGTCATCCGAGGTGGCAAAATCTCTAACGCCCTCAGAGATCCATGCAGTAAACAGCAGGTTAGTCAACAAACACTAACCCCATCAGAGCATTTCAACTTATGCTAAACAGCCTGCACGTTCAAATCCTAGATCTAAATCTAGTAATAATGATCAAAAATGTGATCGATGCAAAGGTCCCCATGCATCTCATCGATGCAAGTTCAAATCAGCAACTTGTTATAAGTGCAGTAAGCAAGGTCACATTGCCAAGGCCTGCTTTGCAAAGTCTTCGTCTGTTGCTAAATCTAGCCAGTCAAGACAGTACCGCAACCAAAGGCAGCACTATGTTAACTCTCACCAAGACTACCTAACCCAACCAATGAACCACTCTACTTGTGAAAATGCTCAAACTGATTCGCAGCCGGATTTCAACCTGTT